TACTGCTGGCAGACATGTTTATTTGGCTAGCACAGCGTTTGGAAAGCTGAATTTGAATGTCTTTGTGGTGGGATGTGTATTCTCTCATGCCTTACTCACAAACCCTACTTCTTCTGTTGACTTTCACCAGTCCAATTCACACATTTGTGTGTTCTCGATCTGGTCCCTACACATCTTTGAATTTGCAGCCTCTCAATCTATGTGCAGATGGCTGGTTTTAATGAAGTGTGTGTGGGAAGCCGCGGTGAAGATGTGTAGGGCTCTTGAGATTTAGAGAGGCAAAAACTGGATGAGGTCAATGCGAACACCAGCCGGGGTAGAGGCAGGAAGAGGCTACGTTGATGGGAAGATCAGGACTGGGACAAAGTCTAAATGTTTGGCTTTTTCCAAATGGCCGCTGTTTCAGCTTACTGTGCCAGGGTCAACAAGGTATAAAGGTAATGGGGCAAGGTCTGTTGGTCTGGTGAAAAAGCAGCTAGTCTTGGACTAAGAGAAGAGAAGCAAGTAGAGGGCAGAAAGAAAGTCACACATCCAGGCATGAGGCTGAATTTCCCCCTTTGCCCCACAGGCCTCAGCCACCTGCCTCTTCCAGAGGAAGGCATGGGTCCTGATGGCACTGACACTCTTTAAAAAGCCTATGGACTTCTAGCCATACACATGTCTTTTCAGTTCCCAGCACACAAACATTGTGCAAATGCACAAGGGCCTGCAGGTTTAAGGAGGCCAGTAGACTAGGTAAGGTAAGGAAGGGAAAATTCGCCTCACTCTTATTGCCATCTGGATTACCTGGTCACCAAAATCCTCTCTTAGATGACCTGTAGAAACAGTCACATGTTGCTTTCATTAGCAGTGATGTGTGCAAGGAAATCATCACAGAAAAGATAGCACAACTACCTTCTGAGAGGAATTAAAGAAAAGAAAAAAATTGCTTTTCCTTAATTGGAACCAGCCTTTCTTTTGGTTGACTCCAATCTGACAGACAGAATATCCAACTTGTAAAAAGAAGAGAAAGCAGGCTGAGAGGAAAGTTTTCTCTATTCATTTTAGGAGCAGTCAGTTACAAAACTGTGCAAATTGGCTCCTCTCTTTTCCAGATGTTGAATGGCTTCTAGTAACGGTGATTTTCTAAAAGAGTAAACTCTTTAGAATCACCCAGTGCTTGATCAGACACCCAAACACACGCCTCCCACCCCCAGGCTAGGCTCACCCCCAAGGTGAAGAAGCCACAGACAAGGAGGGAGGTCTCTTGTCATATCACTGGATCACACATTCACAGCGATCTGCACACTCCCGCACTATCACAAATGGACTTTTCGCTCTCATCTCTGGCTTAGCAATTTACACCCAGTAGCTCTGAAGAATCAGAAATGTGTCTTGCATATATCACATATGCACAACACCTAGACCTTGGCACACCCAAGAGGTGTTGGCTTGCCATCTCTGGGTCCCATGGCTATACAACCTGCAGTTAATACTTTCTTTCATATTATTTGTTCAGTGCTTAAAAAAAGAATTTAAAAATCTCTTGGTTACTTTTTTTTTTTTTGTTTTTAATTTTTCAAAACTGAACATAATCCCCATAGTAAGAAGCCCAACTGTTTGAGTGAATTCCTAACTGGCTTAAGCGTCACAGCAGGCAATAGTAAAACGTTAAGTGCCTTAGAAAAGTCAAAAGAAATGCATAAAGCAGTACATGCATTTTGTCCACACAAAATTAAGACCGGGTTTGGAGAGAGATTACTTCATTTGTCACATTGTTATTGTTAAAGGATAGTGAGTTATAATGCAATATCTAGGCCAAATATATAACCACCTACACACTAGCATCACTTTATCTAGAAACAACATAGTGTTACTAAATGAACATATTTATAAAATACTGTACACTGCTTCTGCATGGGGTTGGCAGATGTAAACAAACAGCTAATTCAACTGGAGTTTAAATTATCATTTTAAGTTCATTTGTCATATAGTCTTTTGCATAACATGCCAGTTCATCTTTCATGAAATCACAACTTGCCTACCACAGCTCGCAGGACTCATTGGAGGATATACATCAGCTTACACACATATTTTACAGTGGTCTACAGGAACATGAAAAGCATCAAGCAGATCAGGAACAAAAATGCCCGGTTCACAAAGATGCTAAATAACATGGAATTGGGAGCATAATTAATCATTGCAACATGTGCTTCTTTATTGAATGTTACAGATTTATAAATGATTATAAAGCTGTCCTGTAACGTTCATTAATACAACCACATGCTACAACTATGCTGGGTTAAACATGGGTTACATACATGTTTACATGTGTTTTATAATACAGCATTGCCCAACATATGAATGGTATAGCCTATAGATAGAGCATGATGGATGACTGGATAATATTTATCATCTTTAAAGAAATTAAACAGCCCAAACATTCAGGAAGATTAGACTGTACAGACTCAGGAAGTAAAAAAGAAAAGTACTATCCAGTTATCTACCATAATATTATCTATAGAAACCATGTTTTAGAATACATTTGAAACATTCAGAAGAAACACATTTTGTGTTTTTATGAGTACATTTTTCTCATCTGATTATTCTTGTATATATATATTTTAAAAGGGGAACTTTCAAAGTGCTAAATAATATCCTAGACCTGGAAACTCAGACATTTAAAAAAGTCCAGTTCTGTAAAGTGCTGTATTATGACTGCTAATATACCTTTTGGCTTGCAGAGATAACACAAACTAGTCATGAAAATTGTACTCAAGCTTTCCAGCTCCTCATTCAAATCGATCAAGGAGGGGTCCTCTAACTATAAATATAAAGTATATTGGTTAAGCAGGAGACCTCCATGGTCATTTTCATAAAACATCCTTAAATTTTTTTTCAAAAGGAACAAGCAATTTAGAACAAATCATTACATATAGTAGTATATAAAAATTGGCACCTTTGAAGCAGATGATTAAACCGAAGCTATTACTTCCTTGAGCTCTCTATGACTTTATTTACGGTCCTCAGTAACTTGCTGCTCATAAACTGCTTAATTCACAAAGACAGATAATTAACGTCCCCTCCATCAGGGATGTGGTGGAATCAATGGGCTGAGCATAAGCTGACTGCACAAGGCCACAGAATCAATGCCACATTGGTGCACAGAGAACCCGGAAATGGAAGGAAATGGACTGAAAAATAATACACATATATGTGCACAGGAAGGAAATGGCTCATGGAAGTTACACAGTTTGTGTCTACAGTCATTTAAGTTTGGCTTATATATTTCACACGTTTCACAGATGTTAGAACTTAATTTTCATGCACAACAAAAGAATCAGGTAATTGCAAGATCAGGACTGTTGAGTATTTAGTTTCCCAGTTCCTATATTTTTCTCTCTGAAACCACAATGAATGGAAACACTTGCGCTCAAAATTTCTTTCCCTCACTTCCAATCTGGCCCAGAATGAGGCCATGGAGTTGTTTGATGTCAATGAATAATGCTTTCATCTCCTTCTTGGGTTCCTCTATAGACCCCTCAGGGAGCCTTCAGCATTGTGATTGTGCTTGATACTTAAAATCATCAACACGTTAGGATGTAAGTGCATTAAATTGGCAACATCTAATTTAAAGAACAAAAATAACAAAATCTTGGTTCAAACTCTGGTGCTGAGATTTGGCCTTCCTGAGAATCACAGAGAGATGGTCTCAAATGTAAAGTGCTTGTTACAACTATATTAACTATGAACAAACATGGTTCCTTTTCCTCATTATCAGTCAATATGGAACCAGGGGCTCATGAACCCTTTCAAGTTATATTGCAACTTTGCATGTATGTACATTTTTTTTTTTTCTCTCTGGAGAGAGGGCCTAGAGTTATCATTAGATTCTCATAGGGATTCACGACTCAAGGAAGTTTAAGAACAACTGATTTATTTTCAGACCCAGTACATGTTTGCTGAGAGGGAAATAGCCAGTGTAGGGCCCAATAAAATGTTAAGTGTTTCTAGAACAGCTGTAAATAAGGGAGTCTGGGTGTTTGTTACCAATTCACCTAAATGCCAAGGAATGAAAAAGGAATTAATTTTTTACATATGTGACGTCATCACGCGTCTTATACCTGAATTGCTTATTCAGAAGAGTTTTTATTTTGTTTTTTCATCTTATATTTAAAGGCCATGTATTTACTTGATTTCACAAAATGAAGTCAAACTTGGTGTTTTCAATTATAATTAAACAAAAGAACCAGGTAGTACCTCAGGCCAGGAACAATAGGTTGTTTTTCTTAAAGGCTTTATTTATTTATTTATTTATTTTTTTTTTTTTTTTTTTGAGACGGAGTCTCGCTCTGTCGCCCAGGCTGGAGTTCAGTGGCCAGATCTCAGCTCACTGCAAGCTCCGCCTCCCAGGTTTACGTCATTCTCCTGCCTCAGCCTCCCGAGTAGCTGGGACTACAGGCTTTATTCTTTTTTAAATATTAATGAGCCAAATAGGAATCCAAAGATTTGGGGTCAAGATTTCTTTATCCCACTTCCAATCCAGATTCTGATCTAGAAGATTATGCCTTTACTTTAGAGTCTAACACTACCTGGTTTAAAGTTGCATGTCTATTCAGATTGTACTTGGTGTAAAAACCTTGTTTAGGAAAATCCAGAATAAATAAGATGTCCCGATAGTGAGTGATTTCAGACAAAAAAGGGCAGAAGGCAAGCAGTGAGTCATTTTGACAACTCTAGTTTGATATGAGAAAAAGTCATAGGAATTTTTAAAAAATCATAATCTCAACATTTGGTCTAATAGTATACTGAACTCTTTCAATGGGACTTCTCATATATTAAGAAAATCTTTTGATTATAGTTCAAGGTGATAGAAAAGTCCAAGCCTCTTAAGAAAGCTCTTTATGTCTGTTTATTTCATATATAAATATGTGTCTCTGCATAAATGCATATACATGTGTATAAGTGGCATATACTATAGAACTCTTTATATGGTTTATTTGCTTTCTATTTTGGTCTACTGTATCTTTTTTTATAGCTCTGTCTATAAGAAAAATATTCATGGTATGCTTGCAACTGATGGCTTTGGGTTGATACCAAACTCCCAGTCAAATCTAAGGTTATTTATAGTTTTGAAACTCCCTTAAAAAGTACTTTGGAACATTTCCATAGAAAAGATACCAGCCCTTGAAAAACTCCAATTAAATTTATGCTGAGCTCAGATTAGATGGCAAAACTCTAGGTATGAAAATATCCACATATAACCATATATTCATATACAAAATGGTCATGTGATGAGTGGTGTGAAAAATTGGCAGTTACGTCTTGGAGGTGTTCAGGAGGATGTGGTGGAGCCATGCAAATGATGACGGTCACACAGCAGCACAACACACGACATGAACGGTGAGAACAGAACATCCCACATGGCAATTTCAGGCTAGTTCTGTCCACTGTTTTTTTTTTTAAGTTCAATATTACATATTCATTGAATGAATTCATTGATGACAGGTGAGATACAAAATAAATTAAAAAATATAAAATTATTGAATTACATTCATCCTGAGCTTGCTTGACTAGACTTGAACGCCCACTGTATATAATAAATCACTTGACTTTTGTTTTTTTTTTAAACATCAACTCTTCTTTCATTTCGACTGCAATACAAAAAGGCATTTCTGTTCCCTCATTTTCTTCAAAAAAGGATAAACAGTTGTGGCACCAGAAGTGAATAGATAAGAGACAGGTGAACTATGACTGTTACCTTGTTTTTTCTTTATAATGATCAATTACAGAAGTGTTGGCATGAGAAGGATGTGGGACGTTAGGTAGAACTGCTTGCTGCCGGCTTATACTGAATAAAGAGGATGCTCTTCATCAGTCACCAGTGATGGAGCCAATGTGAAAAGAAAACAGAATGGAAGTTTAGAATATCTCATTGTGTACGCTGGCTATTTTATTTTATTTCGCAATTTAGCCCTGCATCCTACAACTCTTGATAATGGTCAGAAATCAACAGATGCCTCCTGGCATGGAGCGTGCTCGAATCCCCTTGTTTCCCCTGCTCTCATGGCTTTCTGCCGTGACTGTGGATACATTCATCTCTAACCCTTCCTTCTCCCTCTCTTCCCCCTCCCTGCCCAGCAAGTGTGAACATGCCTTAAATCCCCTGTGTCTGGCACTGGGTCAGATAAAATGCTTTCTTGATCTGTGGCCCAGAAGTCACCTTTGAGTTAACACCTCCCAAAGCATTGCTTGTTTTGCTCAGCTAAGAATAAAGCAGGTATGATTCAAGGAAGGGGGAAAAGCTGGAGTTGGAGAGAATGTTAGGGCTGGATTCTTGAGCCTCCTGTAATGGATATTAAGAAGGTTTAGTTGTGCTTGCTTTCAAAGCTTTGGAAAGCCGATGTTCTGGACAGTCTCCTCATGGACAGGCTGTCCCCTCGGCCCTCTGGCTTGGAGGACTTGCTTCTCTGGAAGGGATTTCGCAGGCTTGCTGTGTTCCGCTGCCTGTCGAGTTTGTCACTGATGGAGAAGCTCTTCCTGGTGTGTGCATATGGCGCGCTTGGCTCCTCTGCCGAGTAGCTGTTGGCGCGCTCTATCTTGGGAACAGTGATGTTGTTGGACAGGGCTCTGTCTGAGTTATCACCCTCCTGGGAGGATATTGCAATGGTGGCTCTGCGGCCTTTGGCCTCATTCTCCTCACTGTCAGAGCTGGGGTGACTCAGTTCTGCTTCTCGCTCGGGATGGCAGCAAGATAAATCCTCCACTTTGTCTCCAAGACCTCCAGGGAAGACAGCTCTGTCCGCAATTGCTTGAGGGGCATTGACACACCTTGTGTCAATACAGTCTGTAATACTTGTGTATTCTGCTGTTTTCACAGGCATCCCAAAGTTGGCATAATAGCTCCTTGAGGGGGAAAACATAAAGCTATGAGATTTCACGATGGGAGCCTCTTCTAGAAGAAAGGGTGTGGTGGCTAGGTAGCGGCTGCTTTTGGAACGCTCAATGGTGTGGTACATCGGAGGGTCTGAGTCCCAGGGGTTTTGGCATTCTGGAAGGTGGGTATAGTCTGAAGAAAAAGATCTAGTGTCCATGGAGGTGATGTCCTCGAAATCAATGCTCCGGCTTGGAGGTTTGTCTGTGGGTGCAAGGGTTGCATAGGCACTACTTGAAGGGGCTGTGGAAGGTACTGGAGTTGAAAAGCTTGGCTCGCCCAGCCCAAGGATGTTCATGGAATTGTCCAGAGGGTCTATATCACAGTGGAGCTCATCCATAGCAGAGACATAGATGTCTATACACGATGATGGTCTTCTGGAATCAGGAACAATGGCCAAGGTGTTGGCAGGGGCTGCAGGAGCTTTGGGTTCTTTCGCTACAGAGTGGGAACTAGTAGCCCTGTGTAGGCTCAGGGACCTTTCTTTAAAAATACTTTCCAACTTTTCTATACCACCTTTGTCTTTCATATTGACTGAATAGAAAGAATGGCTTCGCATACGGGGCATTAAGGTTGGAGAAGTTGGGGACATGGTCTCCTCACCTGCAGGGTCTATACTCTCTTGGAGCTTGAAGGTGTTCCCTTCCTGGCTGTTGAAGCTGCTCTGGCGGACAATGTAGGCTGCGTCTGTGCAGTCTGAGGAGGTCCTCGAGCGGATTTTGTTGGACTCAGCCCTCTCCAGACCTGTCAGGCGCTCCAGGGCCGTGGCCATGCGCCCGATGAGGTCTTCCAGCTGTGCCAGCCGGATGTCCACAGTCTGGAGCGAAGCCTTCATGGAGTGCTCTCTCTCGTTGACTTCCTCCAGCCGCATGGACATGTTCTCCACCCTGTGTGAGGAAGAGAGAATAAGAGTCACTCGGCCTGGTTCATCTGCTGGGGCTTTAGAGAGCAAGGATATTGCCTGACCTTGGTACCTTCAATGCTGTCTTCCCAGAGGGAAGACAGGTTACAGGTGTCAAGAGGGGTTGGGGAGGAGAGTATGGCATTGATGCTACGACAGAATCCCAGAATTAAAATCTTTTTGAGCTAGAAGAGGCTTTAGAGATTATCTAATCCAGTGATTTTTTTTTTTTTTTTGAAACGGAGTCTCGCTCTGTCTGTCGCCCAGGGTGGAGTGCAGTGGCGCGATCTCGGCTCACTGCAAGCCCCGCCTCCTGGGTTCACGCCATTCTACTGCCTCAGCCTCCTGAGTAGCTGGGGCTACAGGTGCCTGCCACCATGCCCAGCTAACTTTTTGTATTTTGTTTAGTAGAGACGGGGTTTCACCGTGTTAGCCAGGATGGTCTCGATCTCCTGACCTCGTGATCCGCCTGCCTCGGCCTCCCCAGTGATTTTTTTTTTTTTTAGCTGTCAATCCCCCTTTCCCTCAATAAAATGGAATGCACGACCCTGATAAATAGGCACTAAAATGGAACAGTCCTTATTGAAGTTGAGTGGGGCCAAGTTCACCCTGACCTAGCTGTGGTTTGAGGCAGGGCATAATGACCTAACTAAGCATTCAGTTGTTGGCTTATCAGGGTCACCCACAAAATGAGAATGTTGCATTTTGAGGATTTTACCCAGAATTTTGCAATGAAATTTTAGAATCTAGCTATTTTTATTGCAATACACGTGTAAAATTTGTATTCCATGGATGGGGGTTATTTTTATTTTGCATTTATACAATAATTTTTGTTGTTATTCATGATCGTCTTTTTAGAAGGTTGGGTCTCTAAAGGAATTACTATGGCCTAGTTACTGAGGCATCCAGGATTGATCTAATCTAATCCAATCCTTTCATTCATAAAGGAAAAGCAAAAATCAAGAATTTAACCAAGATTGCATAAAGCATTTTGTTGTAAACACTACAGTATCTGTCAATAAGTCAATTCTACTCCTCTCTCTGTCTCTCCCTCTCTGGTTAGCTGATCACAGATGCCTTATATTACAGTTATTGCTAGAACTCTCTATCCTCCCGTTGGAAATTCTTTTCTTTTTAAAATTAAATTAAATTAACTTTTTTAGAGATGGGGGTCTCACTTTGTTGCCCAGGGTGGTCTCAAACTCCTGGGCTCAAGTGATCCTCCTGCCTTGGCCTTCCAAAGTGCTGAGATTACAGGCATGAGTCACCATGCCCTGCCTTTTGTTAGTTTGTTTGAGACAAGAGCTCACTCTGTTACCTAGGCTGAAGTGCAATGGTGTGATCATGGCTCACTGCAGCCTCAACCTTCCAGACTCAAGTGATCCTCCTGCCTCAGCCTCCCTAGTTCTGGGACTATAGGTGGATGCTACCATGCTAGCTGTTTTTAAAATTTTTTGTAGAGACAGAGGCTTGCTGTGGTTGCCCATGCTTGTCTTGAACTCCTGGGCTCAAGTGCTTCTCATGCTTCAGCCTCCCAAAGTGCTGGGATCATAGGTGTGAACCCTGGACATTCTTAGGGGCATGGTTTGTCTCATATTCCTGTTTTCATTTCTATGTGGTCAACCTAATACCTGCCAGGTGTCAACAAGTGGGTCAATGACATTTATGAACTTGATTTCAATTGTCACTCAGTCTGCCTGGCCACTTATTTAAGACAGAGGCCACATATTAAAAATAAAATCATACCTTATTTTTCACTTGCTCAAATTAACTTGGAAAGGACAAACCAAAGCCAAGTTACAATTTGAGCTCAAACTTTCACTTTTAAATGTCCAAAGACAAACCTTTTGGTGAATTTAAATGAGACCCAGGCACAACTTTTCTGGAGAGGATTAAAGTGACTTTTTCCAGTCCTTCCAATATGCAAAGTAAATCGTTTGCTGATTCTTAAGGCACTTGCTGCAGGAAGACCATGGCTACACAATATGCTTCACAGTGAATGTGGGAATTAGGCTGGGTCCCTGCGGTCTGTGGGGGTGGTGGTGAGGTTTTAATGACAGCATCACTTCTATTAGGGAAGCACATACACTTCATATGCCAGAAGCAGGTTATATAATACAAGAGGCATGTGGATCTCTGGGAGACCTATAGACTTCTTAAAAACCTCCCCTCCTGCTAGCTAGGAGCATGGGGGTATGACTCCTCTGCCTTGGGGCACATTTCTGCCTCTCTCAGGAACCCGCCACCCCTACTCTGCTTTTATCCTTCAGCTTCCCTTCACCCAGCTAAAGGTCCCAGCCTGCCCTCAAGAGCCCTGCTTGTCACTTTTTCTTTTGCTCCCTCCTGCTGCCCCATAACCAACCCAGCACATCTCAGGGGCCAGGCACACTCTGCCACCATACCCAGGTGTATTCCCAGAAGACTTGTCCATTGAGCTATTCTGTATCTGGCAAACTCAACGCCATGCACTAAGCTGACACAGCTAATTCAGAAGGAAAACACAGCTTTTCCCTCTTTCACTTCATTTTGTCATATAAACATAGCCCAAGAAACTAAATTACTTAAAATAACAAGTTTATGTGTCTCATAGACTTGCAATTACTTTTTCACTATCTAGCCTATGGAGTTTGATTTTGCAAGTACTGTAGTTAAATTTTTTACAATGCAATCTGTTATACTTATTTATTTATGTTTGAGACAAGGTTTCACTCTGTCACCCAGGCTGGAAGGCAGTGGTGCAAACATGGCTCACTGCAGCCTCGACCTCCTCCTGGGCTCAAGTGATCCTCCTGCTTCAGACTCCCAAGTAGCTGGGACTATAGGTGAGCACCACCATGCCCAGCTAATTTTTTGAAAATTTTTTTATAGAGGTGGGGTCCACTATATTGCTCAGGCTGGTCTTGAACTCTTGGGCTCAAGCAATCCTCCCGCCTCAGCCTCCCAAAGTGTGGTATTACAGGCCTGAGCCACTGCGCCTGGCCAATACATTTTGTTAAGTGTATAAAATACTTGTTCATTTAAGTCCAGAGGAGGATAGATGATGCATTTCTGTAGCATGAGATGTTTTGTTTAACATACTTTAGATATTGGGTCTCACTAGCTCTCTAGTGCTAGGAGAGTAATAAGAGGTAGGGTAGTTTTATTTCTCCTTTTCCCTTTCTCTCTGGAGCCCAGTGTGTACGAGGTTGGTCCTGACAGAGATGAAGTTGCTGTTTTGACTTAACTGTAGTCATTGGTCTGAGTGCTGTGAAGTAGCTCCTTGCCATGGCCTGTGCTGTGGGGTCCTCTCTGTCCACATCCCACCCCTGACCTTCAGCCCCAGGATCTAACACTACAGAGAAAATTTGTAGGTGAGAGGCAGAGCTGATGCACCAACACATAACAGAAGAGTCAGGACCTAAAAAGCCATGTGTCCCTGTAGCCCCAGCTACTCAAGAGGCTGAGGTGGAAGGATGGCTTGAGCTCTGGAGTTTGAGGGTGCAGTGAACTATGACTGCACCATGGCACTACAGACAGCCTGGGCAACATAGGGAGATCCTGCCTCCTTTTATTTAATATTTATTTATTTTTTTCCTGAGATGGGGTCTCACTTGTCACCCAGGCTCCTGTGCAGTGGTGTGATCATGGTTCACTGTAGCCTCGACCTCCCAGGGCTCAGGTAATTCTCCACTGTAGCCTCCTGAGTAGCTGGAACCACAGGCATGCACCACAACACCCAGCTAATTTTTGTACTTTTTGTAGAGACAGGGTTTCGCCATGTTGCCCAGGCTGGTCTCAAACTCCTGATCTCAGTGATTGATCACCCGCCTCAGCCTCCCAAAGTGCTGGGATTTTTACAGGCAGAAGCCACCGCACTCAGCATTGGTCCAGAGCCAGGACCTGGTTGCCTGAATGTAGGCAGTAAACTGGATACAGAAACTGAGTAAACTGGACACAGAAACTGAGTAGCCCAAGGAGATGAGAAGAAAGCAGAGGAGGTACAGGGGGAAGAGTCTCTTCAGGGAAAGAGAGAAGGTACGTGGTGAGAGCCCCAAGAGTGAGGAAGGATGACTGCAGGGCGTGGAACCAGGGGAGGGAGGCCTGTTGGAACAGGGCCAAGCAACTGTTCTTGTCAAACCTTAACTCTACTGTGGGCTCTGAGATGGGCTGAAATGTAAGACTTGACTAAAACAATAATGGACTATTTTCTCCATTTTCTCCCAGAATTCTGGGTGTGAAACAAGCCAACCATTTAAATGTATGATCACTTAAGTCATGGACCTAACTGAGAGAGGTTTGACATACGGGTTATAAAATATTAAAAAGTCCTAGAGTCAAGGTTTCCTATGTTTGTTTCATAACTAGACTGGTTCCGTTAATCTTTTTTTTTTTTTTTTTTGAGACGGAGTTTCGCTCTTGTTGCCCAGGCTGGAGTGCAGTGGTGTGATCTCGGCTCACCACAACCTCTGCCTCCTGGGTTCAAGCAATTCTCCTGCCTCAGCCTCCCGAGTAGCTGGGATTAAAGGCGTGTACCACCATGCCCAGCTAATTTTGTATTTTTAGTAGAGACGGGGTTTCTCCGTCTTAGTCAGGCTGGTCTTGAACTCCTGACCTCAGGTGATCCACCCGCCTCGGCCTCCCAAAGTGCTGGGATTATAGGCATGTGCCACTGCACCTGGCCTTCCTTTAATCTTTAAGAAGTTTTTTTGAGGCTGGGTGCAGTGGCTCACACCTGTAATCTCAGGACTTTGGGAGGCTGAGGCAGATGGATCACTCGAGCCCAGGAGTTTGAGACCAGCCTGGGCAACATGAGGAGACACGGTTTCTACAAAAATGAAAAATTAGCTGGGTGTGATGGTCCATGCCTGTGGTCCCAGCTACTCAGGAGGCTGAGGTAGGGGGATCACTTGAGCCCAGGAGACTGAGGCTGTGGTGAGCACAGATGGCGCCACTGCACTCCAGCCTGGGTGACATAGTGAGACCCTGTCTCAAACAAAACAAAACAAA